AATATATATATATGTTAGAGATAAAGTTTATTTTCTCCATCAATTGAAATTTTTGCCTCTTGGTCTTTGCTCGCACACAATCACCTAAGACTGTGCAGCGTGACTTCAATGAAAAATTTGGAAAGATTTCAGGAACTGGCAAACAAATTTGGACTTGATATTAAAAATTTCAAGATGAATGCAGCTTATGCAGGACTAAAGAATCTGGTAGACAATCATCAAGATCAGCGTGTTTGGCAAGAGCTTAACTACAAACTTAACGGGTGCCGTATCACAGGCGGTGCATATATTAAACACTTATAAAATCGGTCCCATAATAAAATTATGATGTTCATTGAGCTAGACTTAGTAGTTTTCAAGATAATTGCTTTTAAAATGATGTCAATTTTGGGGGGACACCCTGTATATGTGGAGAGAGAGAGAGAGAGAAAGAGTGAGGGGAGAGAGAGAGAGAGAGAGAGAGGGAGACAGTGAGAGAGAGAGGGAGGGAGGGAGAGAGAGAGAGTGACAGAGAGAGAGAGAGAGAGTTTGGCATCGTTCTGAGCACAACAGATATACATAGATTGTGATAGATACATAGAAAGTGGCTGCCACCTTGTTGTCTATTATGAATATCAAAATATTTCCTGGTATGGTTTAGTTGTGCTTTGAACGGATATGGCTACTTTAAAACGGACAAAGTTTTAAAGCCTCAAAGTTAACGCATATAATTACTGAAAAAATAATGATGATAAAAAGGAAAATTATGAAGGAAATATCCAAAGACTACAATGAAAATCACTACTTCTCAAAATGTCTAAAGAACTTTGTTACATATCTGTTTATATGAAGTGACGATAGCGATGACGACCTGCTGCTGGTAAATGTTTTTGTGATGAACAGGAGCATCAACCGCCCAAGTTACAACTTGATGCCAACACATGAAATATCTAAGTAAAATGCAAGAATAATTAAACGAGAAAAATTATCTCATCATAACAACAAAATAAAATCCGACATAATCATCGGATTCTAGTTACGAGCACTCAGAATATGCAGCCCGCATTATTTACACGAAGAGGAGAAATGCATTGAAAACATTTTCTAACTTCTCCAGAACCCTCATTATTTTATATTCAATGCGAAACAAACGGCCCATAAAATATTCCAAAACAAAACAAAAAAACAAAACAAAAAAACGGCCCCTCTTGAAAACCCGGTGAATCAAAAAATATATTATCTTGCTAAATCTATAACCTCTACAACGGAAAAGAATCTATCTAAACTCAACATAAAATTTGTTACTACTACATCCAAAACAATAAATGACTTAATCAATACTGAAAAAAAGAATAATTTAAAACCTGAAGAAGGACTTTACGTCATCGCCTGTAATAACTGTCACAAAAATACATTGGAAAAACGTCAAGGAATCTAAATAAAAGATTAATACAAAACGAGACTGACCACAATTCTGGCATAAAAAATACTGCTCTGATCAAAGGAAAAAACAGCTCACTCCGACGAAAATGTCTAGAGAGTTCCTTGCTGGCAACGTTATACACAGTAAATTTGCGCTCTGGCTCCTACAACATTTCATAATTCCTAAAAGATCTTCTCTTTGGTTCGCTATAAAACGAAAAGTCTAAAATCCCCAGCAGCTCTCGTTCGTGCTTATCTGTAGTCGTACCAACATAACGAAATTAGTAGCGTAAATTTCTAAAGGACGAAACACATCACAAGAAAACTTTTTCAACTTGGTCATAAAATTTCCCCAATATTGGCATCGTTCTGAGCATGACATAGATAGATAGATAGATAGATAGATAGATAGATAGATAGATAGTGGCTGATTCCTCGTTGTCTCGTGGTGGTTGGAATGCCGAACTGATCCCTTTGTTTCGCTCACTGGGGTAGACTGTTCTAGTTCCACGTGCCATGGAGAACTTGGAGAGGGGAATTAACTGGAGATAACTGATAACTGACATCTATTAGACATGGCACGTGGACCTAGAACAAACAGTCTACCCCAGTGAGCGAAATAAAGGGTTCAATTCGACATTCCAACCATCTGAAGAAGGCTGGAGCGTAGAACGGCCGAAACGTTGTAATAAATATGGGGACAAAGATGAGGACAATAGTCCGAATAATGTAAATAGTGAGAATCCCGAACGTATAGAATTCATACGCAAACGCTCAATTCATGTACAGGACGATCCAACTCTATAAGCCAGTTAAAAACCAACCAATTATAAATAATCCCAAAAGGCGAAAGAAATAAAAACGACCAGGTTACAAAGAATCAAACATTTCTCTGTGAGTATTCTGCAGTATTCTTGTGCGGTTTGATGCGTTTGATATTGTGCCAGTTGCAAGACAAAGAGTGGTAATGATTTTTCTCGATTCAAGGAAATCTTTGCCGATATATTTTCCAAAGTCGAAGTGAAAGTGTTTTTGACAGCCGAACATTCAGCGATAACGCCTCGTGGAAGAACGCCATTGATACATAAAACTTGTGTTGAGAAAGGTCGGCTTTGAATTAGAAGGGGATAGAGCAAAGGAAACAAGCAAATTAATGCGAGGACGAGATAATCGAGTATCTTTAGAAAAGAAATGAAAGCCAAATACGGGATTTAATAATTACATGTTTCATTCAAACTGAACAAATAAATACATATATTACCCTAATTTGTAATAAAACACTAAGACAAGAATAAAATGCACTTGCTGCTCCGTCAATGAATACCAAATATTTCCATATAAGGAAAACGTTAATATTACCATTATCGTTACAGAGGAGAAGAACAGATATAACACTTTGATCCCAGCTGATAGCCAGGGAGAGAACAAATGCGCAGCAATGTCTGCTCGGTCATTAAATGTTCACATATAAGGAAAACGTTAATATTATCATTGCTGCTGGAGAAATAGTCTTAGATTGAGTGTCAACAGGTTTAAATGATTTTATTTCTCCGTTCTAATATAAGTTATGTCACTCGTGATACATAGATTACGAGATGCCTATATCACATATATTTATTAAACTGTTAACACGACTGTAAAATATGTAAGCTATCAAATATATTTAAGATATAAAGTATTATCTACGCAATGACAAAGATAATTAATGATGAATGAATTTATAATAATGCATCATTTAGACCAGCATAAATAAATTAAGAAATATGGACTTTTCAAAGCAAAGACAAAATGAAACAGTCGACATTGGACGAAACGCGTCGGCTAATAATTTCCTATTGTCTTTTACCTTTGTAAATATTGTCTTTTCTACAGGTTAATTCTAAGATTTTTTTCATATATATATATATATATATATATATATATATATATATATATATATATATATATATATATATATGTTAATCAATATAATCCCAAATCACTTCATATGTGGATTAAGCTTATTTCGACCGACGGTATAGACAAAATTCGATCGAAATAAGCTTATTCCTCATCTGAAGGGATTTGGGATTTTATTGTGTATTAATTTTTGTTCTGTAATAATAAATACATTGATATTTTGTTTGTGGATCAGTTTTAATATTTTAGTTTTCTAGGATCCACTTGGATTATATACCAATGGATTTATTACTTTTACTATATATAGGCAAATTTTATGACAAATTAGAACTTTTTCCACTTTGTCATACAATTTCTCCAATTTTGTTCTTGATATATATATATATATATATATATATATGTGTGTGTGTGTGTGTGTGTGTGTGTGTGTGTGTGTGTGTGTGTGTGCATGCTGATTCTTTTGTATAAGACAGTGTGTATATATGGGAAGGGAATATATATATATACATGTGTAAGCTAACGGGTCTCGCAAGCACAGACGATGCACAAAAAATGGAAATCGATTTTACATTCTCAAGGGTAGGGTAGGGATAAGAAAACATGTCTCATCAACACATCTCTCATCACCACTACACCTAATCATTTTATTACCACTTAGGCAGAACAGTCCACATATAAGATCAAGGCTAACTATACATACAGAAAACGAACAATGAAACAGTAAAAGAACAAACGGAAAATTTATTCCTATAAAAATTTATTCCTTTTTGTCCTGAAGAAGGTCACGAGGCTGGAAACGCGTGTAGCATAAATACAGAAAATAAAATATAATATATAAACAAAAACAAATCCACATTATAACCAAAAACATTTTCGGTTTCTCACTCTCTCTCTCTTCTTTTTAATATACCTTTTTCTCTCGTTGGAACAACTATAATCTTTTTCCTTATATATATATATATATATATATATATTCCAGTAGAGATCATTACATTCACTAACGTGCTAATACCCTTGGAAAATGTATGAATCCATCTTTTGTCGCTCCAGCTATGAGTTGGATAGCTGGAGAGACTGGGTTCTATAGCCTTGGGTGGCGAACTGTCTAAGAGAAGTAAGATACTGTGCCTTATGCCATTATGTTGTTTTAAATGTAGAAATATCTGTGTTAATTATTTTTGATTATTTATTTTATTTTGATTTTTATATTTTTTACAACATTTTTGTTGATATTGTAAAGGATATTTTCAGCTTCTCTTCTTTCTGCAGTGTATATTGTTCTCTCTATGGCTATTACCTATGAAACTGTTTAGTTAGGCCCCTTACCTCAACAAATTATATTTAAAGAAAGTTGTTCTGGCGTGGTAAACTGGCTCGTGAGTAAATATGTACGCTTCTCAAGGAGGGGATCTTGGGACTTATACAAGTTAAAACTTTAGAGCTATCACGCCTATTCCTAAGATTGCCTCTGCCCCCTAGACTAGCTTGTACTAATGGACTCACAGAAACATTTCCCGCCTCCTGTTTGCGACAGGAGTAATTACATTTTAGTTCTAAATGTTTTTTCTCTTCTTTCACTCTCTCTCAATGCTGCACCCAAAAATGCTGCTCTAATCCCCGAATTGCACCCATAATAGAACAATCAAAGCTAATCGCCCTGACATCGAAGATCAGAGACCACAAAAATAGAATATGCCTTCTCATTTACATGGCCATCCCCACAGACTGTAATGTATCTCTGAAGATCTTCAAAATCAATCCAAATACAAGGACTTTGAAATCGAAATCTGAAAAATGTGGCACATGAGAACATCAACAATTCCAGTTGTAGTTGGTTATTAATCCGAGGGCTCCAACTACAACTGGAATTGTAAAAGATTCCGATAGACTTATTCTGATCCCTGTAAAAGATTCCGATAGACTTATTCTGATCCCTGTAAAAGATTCCGATAGACTTATTCTGATCCCTGTAAAAGATTCCGATAGACTTATTCTGATCCCTGTAAAAGATTCCGATAGACTTATTCTGATCCCTGGTATGTAAAAGGCTTAAAGAAATATGAAAAATACTCACAAGTACAGTTCACACCTTAAGAAACACTTTATCTTTGTAAAATATTTCTAATCTTTTTTTTTAATGCTCAGTGGAAAATGTAATGATATCATTTCTGAATTTAGGTTTCTGGTTGGGACCCGGAAGGAAATGAGTATACAAAAGAAATCAAAGGAAATAAAATAATAATAATAATTATCATTATTATTATGATTTCACGTAACAAGAACATTAGACGTAAATGTTTTTTTTTTTTTTTTTTTTACCGTGGGAAAACTCGCCTCAGAAAACTTCGTCGTATAGGATTTGGGCCGTAACACAATTTCACTGCATTTTTTTTCGATAATCTTATCTTGGACGTCCCTTTTGGAATATTGTTCAATTTAATATGCGAAGTACATTTTACCAAGTATATTTAATTATACAACAAGGTAGAATTTTAAATTGTTTAAATGTTTTTGTGTTTGATAACTCGAATGTCAGTTATACTTTGAATCAAAAGGTGGCATGTTGTTATGTTATCTTCAAATATAAGAAAATATATTTCAATATTTAGGTGTTTATAGGGAATTTAAAACAGTTTATGTTTGTAAATAATTTGTGTAAAGTTCAAAAGACTTACTGTGAGTTTGAAAGAGTTATCTTTCTTTGATCAGATATTTTATATTAAAGTTGGTTGCGTATTCAAGTTGTAAGTTTGTTAGAAAGAATATATATTGCTTAAGTGAGAATAATTGACAGATTGATATTAACAGAAAGTTTAATGTATTGTCTAAAATATAAAATTGCATGACGCAGGTTTTGGTGTGAAGTTGAAATTTTTTCGATCCTCCCTGACGAGAATGAATGATGTGGGATTTTGATCCTATAACTTCGCTTATTAAAATGTTTAAATCGAAGTAACAATAGTGTGACCCAGATATACTTGATAACAAGGTACTTCGCATATTAAGAAAAGAAACAAATTCGGCCAAATTGTTTTACGGCAAATATTCTATACGGTAAAGTTTTCTACGATGAAAATTCCTGATGCGAGTTTTCCTACGGCGAAAATGTTTATGCCAAATGTTCCTAGAACCGTGATTTCAATAGTTGTTGAGCCTACTTATCCCGTTCCATAAAGAGAATTTTTAATAAAATGCGTATTTTCAAATTATAACAAAACTAAAGCGCGCAAGTTCTAAATAAAATAACAAAGAGACCGATGACTTGGCTTCCTTCAAAATACATCAACAAAATCGAATGAAATTGGCAACAGATTACATGAAATGCAGTTCTTCAAGCATTATTTTCACTCATAAAAATTATGCTATTACCGATGGATCAGATAGATGAAGCATCATTTGGATGAATATTAACTGTTTTCACGCTCAAAGTTGAAATATATCAACAAGGTGTATGGGGTTGGAAGTTTTGGAGTGGGATGAAGTGGTAGGCCTATGACATGCCCCAAATGCTGTCAAGATTGCATCTCACAATTACATCCATGTTTTAAAGGCACACGTAGAACTATATCTTAAGAAGAATTCAAGTGCTTTCAATAAGGCAGTAGAATGGATCGGTCGAAATGTTGTGATAACGTAAAAGCAACAAAAAGAAATATATTATTTCAGAATGAGTGTTTTACTGTATTTTTTATCTATATTTCTGAGATGAGGTATTATGTACAGTATTTACATTAGTCGGACTATTGTCCTCATCTTTGTCGCCATAGTTGTACGCTCTGGCCTTCTTCAGGTGGTTGGAATTTCGAACTGAACCCTTTATTTCGATCGCTGAGGTAGACTGTTCTAATTCCACGTGCCATGTTTGATGGATGTCAGTTATCAGTTATCTCCTGCTAATTTTCCCTCTGAAAGTTCTCCACTGCCTTAACCAGGAATTGAACTCACCTTCTATGGGTCTGTCACTGGATCTAACCAACGCCTTTATCCACATGGTCCAGAAGAACCTGGACTTCTTCCTGATGTGGCCAGAGTATGAAAGTGTCATCTACGTACCGTAACCATATAGTTGGCTTTAGCGATATAGACTCTAATGCCATTTCTTCAAAGTATTCCATGTATATATTCGCCATTGCTGGTGATAATGGCGAGCCCATTACATATATGGGAACCAGTAATAAGGAGTGCCAGAGAAAAGCAATGATAACAAAGTTGCAATATGAACTCTGGTAAAGACATGCAATGATAACAGCAAAAAATTGCAATATGAGCACTGGTAAAAATGATGCTGAAAACATAATACTCAGAAGTTCATACCCAGATGTCCTCAAGGACACATGGCACAGTGGATAAAGGCGTTGGTTAGATCCAGTGACAGACCCATAGAAGGTGAGTTCAATTCCTGGTTAAGGCAGTGGAGAACTTTCAGAGGGAAAATTAGCAGGAGATAACTGATAACTGACATCCATCAAACATGGCACGTGGAATTAGAACAGTCTACCCCAGCGATCGAAATAAAGGGTTCAGTTCGAAATTCCAACCACCTGAAGAAGGCCGGAGCGTACAACGGCCGAAACGTTGTGACAAATATGGCGACAAAGATGAGGACAATAGTCCGACTAATGTAAATACTGTGTATTTTTTTATCTGTGGTATAGAAATTTCTGAATCGATAAACTGTTATTTACAACTGAAAAATTATTTTTGTATTAAAATAGATTAATTAATTAATCCATATGTTAATGTCATTTTGCGTTATGGGTTCTTCTTAAATCGACTTGTCTACTAAGAAATTAAAAAGAAAAAATGTAGCTCACGAATTCGCTGTTTCTGACAAAACTTTCATTTTGATAAACTATTGATTAGAACAGAAAGAAATATTAAATGATTTTTTTATGTGTGAGAATTTTATAAATTCCATATACATTTATATATGAAGGTGTATGAATTCACTATGCGAGGTATTTTGTGAAGATTTCCAAGTTTTAAGTGATGTGACTGTCTTGTTAGTATCCACTCTTCAGTCTGGTAATAGGCTCCGTGATATTTACTAGTATTAATTTTTTCAAAGTGACCCATCACCAAAAAAAAAAGAAAAACGCCAGAAAACATGGAAAGATATTGTGAACGTATCAATACTGACCGTTGAAAGATCATTCTATCAATTAACTTTAATCAGTCCTGGAATATGGCATGGGATCCTCATCCAGGAATTTTCATGTACAAGTAAGGACATATATTTACTGATCAGACTGAGATTAAAATAAAACGTAAGACATACTGGGAAAATCGAATTCATTGATTCAAGATTAGGAAAGCGTTATCATTGCTCCGGTGTGATATATATATATATATATATATATATATATATATATATATATATATATATATATATATGTGTGTATATTTGGAACAATAAAAACATAAAAAAAAAAATAAAATCTTCAGACACACTGGGTTGTAGATTAATATTCTTTCGTTTTTTTTTATTATTTCATTTAGATTCCTCGACTAGTTTCGGCCAAAATGGCCATCATCGGGAGAAGAAATATTTCTGCTTGCTGGTAGCAGTAAACTACAGAAATGAATGTCTTGATATATATATATATATATATATATATATATATATATATATATATATATATATATATATATAAGTGAACATTGAGGTCACCACTTATATTTACATACGTTCTATCTCTGATATTAAGCACTTTATCCCATAAATATAGCAGACTTTAAAAGTATATTTCTGCATATATATATATATATATATATATATATATATATATATATATGTATGATTAATACAAAAAAAATTTTGCCACTGAGCTGATTGATGTTATATTCAGAACAACGATTCCAGAGATTCATAGACAGACTTTTCCGTACTTGTTCAGTACACTCTTCAGGAGGTCCAGCATTTAACTGCCGTTTTTCTCATTTTTCTTTTAATCAAACCCTCATATATATATATATATTGATGTAATTAATACCTGCGCTATATTTTCTTAATAACTTTCTGGTGTACGGTGATCGACCACTACGTTTTAGTTTCATGAGTATTAATGGAATCATCAATAAGGTAGTCGGCTACCGTTTTAGTAAAAATGGACATTACTAATTATTCTGCACGTTTTTTTTAATTTCTTCTGATATTTTCGCCCAATTAACGGTAATTTTCCACAATCAAGATTAAAAAACCGAAATTAGATACACGATGTTAAACTATGACGGAAGCCCGAAAAATATTTCGAGACAAAAAAAAAAATAGAATTGTAAAGAATGTCCTTGGACTTGAAACAAAAATTCGTATATATATATATATATATATATATATGATGTGTGAGTGTATATATATATATATATATATATATATATATATATATATATATATATATATATACACGCAACCCTCACATCCAATTACAAAGTAAGAATAAAATCATCCTTGATAATGGTTAAAAGTTTAGCTTGTACGCGTTTGGAATGACAGTACATTTGGATGGTTCCTACACGCTATGTGTCCAGAAAAGAAAACAGTTTTTCGAACACAAGAAAAATTAAATAAAAAGCTTAATCGTAGTATTTTATTTGCCATCTTTAATGAAACGTGTATAAGTCAGGGACTGCTGCCTAAAACACAATATATATATATATATATATATATATATATATATATATGTAAAAAGATAATGGTCAGAGTTGAATCAGATTAGGAAACATTCGTATTAAAAAGTGCTCAATACACACACACACAAACACACACACACACATATATATATATTAAAAAGAAGAGAGAAACCGCAAACGATTTTGGTTATAACGTGTATTTTTAAAAATATATATATTATGCTTTATTTTCCATAATTTTGCTTTCAGCTCGTGTGACCTTCTTCAGGCAAAGAGTGGATATTTCCACATATCATTAAAATGAATCAATTTTCATTATGTTTTTCGATGTTAAACATTCTCTTTTTTTATATATATATATATATATATATATATATATATATATATATATAGAGAGAGAGAGAGAGAGATAGATAGATAGATAGATAGATAGATAGATAATTCAGTTAAATAAACTGAAAAATTAAGTATTTTTCAGAAACTTTTATATGAAAAAAAATGGGCATTATATATAAATTCAAATAATGAAAATGTAAACCAATTTATAATTTTAAATTTTACAAGTATTATATATATTTAATCTTCTCATCCAAAGAAAAAGGTCCTTAGGATGAGAATGGTTATTGAGAATGCGAGAAACAGAGAGGACAATAAAAGAATAGACATCAAGTTGACAGAAGATGGCGCTAATTGCATTTAAATTCTTAAAGATCGTAGTCGAGAAGAAAGTTTGGAAACCGGAAGAAAGTTCCACAACTTTTTTTTACAATAAGGTTCATCCGGTACAATCAACGGGGACCACTCCAAGTAGAGGATTACATTAGTGGGTAGTTTATCTGTATAGGAGGGAAAAATAACGGTTGACTCTTGATTTGAACAGGTTTAGCGTGTTCGCGAGAGGAAGCTGTTTATTCTGTTTGTATTTTCTTGATGGCTGGAATTTCATTTATTTTATTTTATATTTCCGCTTGATTTTCTTACTTTTGCGTGATGAAATATTTGGGATTCTTGAAATCTCATCTATTATCTACAAGTCACATCCGATTTCCATAATTTCCCGCTTTCTCCCCTTCCAAGTTGGCGTTTTTTTTCCGTTTCAACATTTCTTTCTATTGACATTAAGTTTACCATCACCTGCTAAAGCTGTTGCATATATATTATTTACTTATATGATGTTTCCCACTTCTTTGTCTGTTAACCGTGTTTACAGTGCAGCGTTATATGTTTGCACAATATATTTATTGGACTTTGTCATATGAATTTTTGGAAGCCGGTCTCTGTCTGACATTTGTGTGCGAGTTAGTCTGTTGCGTATTTGAATGATGTGGTTTTTCGCTTCAGTGTTTTCAATTCTGCCCTAATATCTTTTGATTCATCCTCAGTGACATAATCTGAATCACTGCAGTTGTTTATGTCGCAGTTAGATTCTGCCATTTTATTTGCTGGGAGATTATTATTTCGTATCTCATTTATTTATTTTTTGTCTGATCCTCTGTCATATTATTTATTTTCATTCTTGTTTAAGTGAGGGGTTCTTGGATTTTGTCTTATATTTAGTTTTATCTGATCTATTTCTGCATTTTAGAGTCTTTTATTTCGCATGATGTCCCTGTGAACATTGGAAAGGATATTTGCGTCGAGATAAGGTCTTATATCAATTCCTACCATATCTCTTCATATTTCGTATGTTTGATCCGTGATGTTAATTTGTGGATTTTCGAGGGCACTGTATAAGGATGTAATGACTTGTCGATACTCTTCACGATTCAATTTCGTTCGATTTCTTTTTAATTGATTTGGAATTGAGTCACATGGAGCAAGGTTGGAGTTAATCCACTTTTAGTGACCAGGTGTCTCATTATTATTGGGATAGTTTGCTCCAGTGACATATTTTTCGGCCCCAGCCTGATTCATCTCTGAGTGTTGCCGCCCTACTTGACCCGGGTGACGACCGATCCAAGTATGATTGTTTAATCTTGTAAGCACTGAGATTCTGGCTTTCTTTTTCTTTTTATTTTTTGAATTTTATCCTTGATCGCCAAGGCGTAATTTTGCTTTAGGTCGACTGTCAACTAAAACTAAAGAGCACGTCCTGCACATAAAACGAGGGAATTATATTCAGATATCTAGAGATCGACATTTAGTGCCTGCATTCAGGGAGGTAATTTAAAGATATGGAAATAGTATTGACTATATTATGTTTTATTATTGTTATTAAATAATATATGATCAGTAATCCGGAAAACTGTAACCATGGTAATAACTCCTTTCAAAATTACCTAAGATATTTTAAACAAGTAGAATCCAGATAACTATTGAAATTGCGAGGGTCGGCTGTAAAGTTCGTAGGCTAACGAAGATAATCTCTTGGTATGTGAAGAAATGACAAAGATGAGGACAATAGTAGGAATAATGTAAATAGTGTAGATTTTTTCTCGCCATAACGTACCGTCCCTTTGATTTTTCTATAAGTAGTTTCATGTCATTTGTTCTAATGAGCTTTCCTCTTTGGTGACTCAACTTCATGAATTTAAGCGCTGTACTGGATTGGCAGTTAGGTCTCATTATTTTACTGTTGAAATAACTTCAATAAGTTCTATGCTAATAGTTCCGTCTTTCGTACTTCTCGCCTGTTGAGCTTTCTTCTGATTGCTTTTTGGTTAACCACGATCTTCAAAAATGTAAATAGAACGTCAAATGCCATCCATTTCTTTTAAAAAACCGGTTCTTTTTATTTTCCTTTCTCTTCAGTAATGTTTTCTCAGTTCCCTTCTGTATTGTCTTTCATTCTGAATGACCTCTTACGCCTTAGTGACTTTATCACCTTGCGATAATTAAAATTATTAGTAACATTCTGTGACCTTCAAAAAGGGAGATACAACTGATTATTTGAGTTTCCAGTAGATATGTTCACTGCTAATATCCAGGTAATGGAGGTACAGAATCTCCTATCATATTCCAGGAGATGGAAGCTCTGTGTGGTCTGCAAGTTTCCATGAAAACAAGGAATTAGGTTACGTGAATGTTTAAGATATGGAAACAAAGACGATAAAATTAGTCTGAAGGAATTTATTATATGCATCGTCACGGACATTCTGACATAGAGAATGAAGGGGAACAGAGGGACAAAAACGTTGTGATATATACAAGAAAATGTATATCAAAACTAATAGAAATCTAGATATTATCCTGGTATATCAAAAGTGACATAGATAGATAGATAGATAGATAGATAGATAGATAGATAGATAGATAGATAGTGGGATGAACAGAATAATAAAGGTAGACATGAACTGAGATAGATAGATAGGTAAATATTAAGAGAAACAAACTAGATAGATACATAGATAGATATGAATGGACTGAGATAGATAGAAAGATAGATAGATAGATAAATAGATAATGTGCAGACTGAAATAGACCAAGCCCTTCAAAATAACGGTGAGGATCGTGCCGTGGCCCTAGACATCTCCAAAGCATTTGATAGGGTTTGGCATGCCGGCCTTCTTTGCAAGCTCCAGGGTTATGGTATTACGGGTCGATTGTTTGACCTAATACAATCATTCCTGTCAAACCGTGAATTGAAGGTCGTTCTCAACGGATTCTCCTCCAGTTCCTATCCCACGAACGCAGGTGTTCCCCAAGACTCCATCCTTGGCCCCACTCTATTCCTTATTTTCATCAACGACCTTTCTGATACCATAGATTCCCAAGTTGGCATCTACGCGGACGGCACTATAATTTACTCCTGCCTCAAAAACAAATCTAGTGTCGCTGACAAAACTAACCTGGCCGTGCGTCTTGAAATGGACCTCCAATCGGTTGTTAATTGGGGCAAGAATTGGCTGGTCAACTTTAACGCCTCAAAAACTAAACTGCTCTCTATTAATGACCATAGAGATCCTTCCCTGCCCCCCCCCCATTAGAATGTCTGATAGTCAACTTCTTGAGAGCAACTCTCTGCGTCTGCTCGATCTCACGTTGACTGCTGACCTGAGATGGAACAAATACATTGAGTCAATTGCATCGTCCACCGCGAGGAAAGTTGGCTCTCTGTGCCGCGTCAGGAAATTTTTCTCCCCGGAATCGATACTTCAAATATACAAATCAGCCATTCGCCCTTGCATAGAGTATTGCTGCCATATATGGTCTGGGGCACCTTCTGTTTACCTCGGAGTTCTTGACAAGATCCAGAGACGGATATGTAATATAATTGGCCCTGATCTGGCATCTCGTCTACAGTCACTCTCTCAGAGACGCGCCGCCACCTGTCTCTGTCTTTTCTACAAATACTTTCATGGTAATTGCTCCGATGAGCTGCTTTCACTGGTCCCCAGACTCCATGAATTCAAGCGCCCTACGAGGCTGGCATCCCGCTCTCACCCTTTCACTGTAGAAACTTTCAAATGTAGCCGTCTCTTCTACTCCAATAGCTTCATGTCTCGCACCTCTCGACTGTGGAACACCCTTCCCAATTACTGTTTCCCTGAGAGCTATAATCTCCAACTATTCAAATGTAATGTCAATCGACATCTCCAGTTACCTTGATCTATCCACTATCCTTCTCCTCATCCTTTCTTCTATCACTCCTATCTGCTCTCACTCCAAATCTTCTGCAACCCCCTGCATCCTAGTGGCTTCATGCCTTGCTCCGGGCGTAATGCTTAAAAAAAAAGAAAAAATAGAAAAGATAGATAGATAGATAGATAGTGGGGGTGAATAGAATAATAAAGGTAGATATAAACTAAGAGAGATATATAAGGAGGACAGAAACAAACTAAAGTAAATAGTAAGAGAAACCAACTAGATAGATAGGTAGATATGAATGGACTCAGATATATATATAAATATATATATATATATATATATATATATATATATATATATATATATATATATAGAGAGAGAGAGAGAGAGATAATGTGCAGACTGAAATAGATAGATAGATAGATAGTGGTATGAAGAGAATAATAAAGGTAGATATCAACGAAGAGAGATAGGTAAATAGTAAGAGTAACAAACTAGATAGATAGATATGAATCGATTGAGATAGATAGATAGATAGATATGAAATGAAAGGCCAAGAGTAGGTGTATGTAAACCGAAGGGAGAGAAATGAATTCGGGTTGATTTTTTTCTGTGATTTTGTCTTCATTTCACAATACATTTTCCGATTGCAGTTGGGATTTGAAATCCACAATGAAAGCAAAAATCACTCTTTCGAAGAATTCACAATGGGGAAAAACTGAAAACGGATGACATCAGCAGCAGCAGAAGAAGAAGAAGCAACATTATTATTATTATTATTATTATTATTATTATTAATTGATATTTGAGTATATGTGTGAATGTGCAGTAATATGTACAGGTTTATTGAAGTAAATAGATACATACGTAAATAGAAGGACATATCCAGGAGAAAGTCATATTAATTTCATAAAGAAGAGAAGATTTAGATAGATAGATAGATAGATAGTTTTCTGTTGGTGCCTATTAGCGATCTGGTACTCAGGCAATATCTATCTATCTATCTATCTATCTATCTATCTATCTATCTATCTATCTATCTGTGTGTGTGTTGGTGGGTGTGTATGTGCGTGTGTGTGTTTGCCTATGTGGGTGTGTGTAGAGAGGGAGAGAAATCGAGATGATAATGGAAAATCTAACTGCATTACCCCGATATTTTTGGTTCAATTTACTTATATATCTTATATATATATATGAATAATTTGAATTTAAAAACAAACTGCAATAGTCAGGTAGGTATGGAGATAACTAGATAGAGATATGAACAGGCATAGATAGATAGATAGATAGATAGATAGATAGATAGATAGATAGATAGATAGATAGATAGATAGATAGATAGATATGGATAAAGTAAGAGATGTAAAGAGAGATATATGCATATACCATATGCACATAATTGAGGTTGACAGAGAGATATGTGCATACTGAGATAGATAGATATGAAAAGGACTGAGATAGATAGATAGATAGATAGATAGATAGATAGATAGATAGATAGATAGATAGATAGATAGATATATTAAAGACATTTTTATGTTTAACGTTGTTCTTTTTTTTTATAAATAAATAAATTGTCGGACTTTGTCCAGTTCTTAATATATAGATAGATATATAGATAGATAAATAAATATGAAAAGGACCGAGATAGATAGATAGGTAGATAGATAGATAGATAGATAGATGGATAGATAGATATGAAAAGGACTGAGATAGATAGATAGATAGATAGATAGATAGATAGATAGATAGATAGATAGATAGATATGAAAAGGATTGAGATAGATATGAAAAGGACTGAGATTGATAGATAGATATAAAAAGGACTGAGATAGATAGATAGATAGATAGATAGATAGATAGATAGATAGATAGATAGATAGATAGATAGATATGAAAAGGAATGAGATAGATAGTTTTCTGTTGGTGCCTATTAGCGATCTGGCACTCAGGCAATATGTATCTATCTATCTATCTATCTATCTATCTATCTATCTATCTATCTATCTATCTATCTATCTGTGAGTGTGTTGGTGGGTGTGTATAGATAGATAGATCCTGACTGAGTAACTGATAACAAATTGTATGCACTGATGGAAAAATCAAATTGCAACATCCTTAATATGTGTTTCTATTTATTCGAAAAGTACTGTACTTGTAATTGACCTGGATTACCTGATCACGTAAACAGATCAATATACGTAAAAGTTCTAGAATTAGGGGTCTAACAAGAGTACAACAAGAATAAGACGGGACATTAGACAACTCGTTAGAAATAACAACAAAAATAATTCATAAATCCAGTAGCAAAAAGACTACTGATTATTGAAACCATTTAAATCCAACAAAAAATATATTAATAAAAAATAATTATAGTCTCCAAACTCAAATTCTTCAACCTCACATTCTGCAATGAATAAGAAAAAAAAATTACACATGACTGATGAACGTTACTGTAGCAAGTAGCCTAAAAGACTTCCTGTGTTTATATTTATTCGATTCAATTTTAAAATATGACGAGGGTTTAAAATGTTCCACTTGCAATGCTTTTGATTTTCTTCACCCTAATTTATTTATAGACACCCCTGATGATGACTCGTCTGAATCGAAAACTCTGAGATGGCCTCAATGTGGGATATTATGTACATAGGCAACAGACAGATTTTCGGAAGATTATTCACAATTTAGAAAAGAAGAACTCTTAGGATATGCGGTTTAGGCAATAGATTTCAGCCCGGAATGAAAAAAACGAAGATCCGAGTTCAAATCCCAGTATTGTTAGTTACATTTAGCTATTTAGCTAGTATGCAAGAGGTTACTGGTATTGAAAGAAACAGACTGGACAATAAAAGAATAGAATTCAAAGAGACAGAAGCACAAATTCCTTTTGGAAAGGCACGAATCAATCTCCCCTCATCTATCAGTTAGTAGGAATTGTATCTGGAAATATCATTGTTATTATTAAAAATATTTTAACGTAATAGACGCTTTAAAATATTCTTACAATTCAAAAATATGTTTCGGCTTTAACATAACCGAGAAAGGGTCGACAAACCGTAAAAAACAAATCAATAAATAATAAATTAATCATTAGAATATGGGTTTCTGCTGACCAGTCCTCACTGTCCAGACTTGAAAAGGTTCAAAAGCGATTACACGCCCTTATACGCGATAAATTATTTTTGTACACTTAAAATCTCTTCCCATAAACGAACTGTTTCTAGCCGATCGCTATTCTGTCGCTATTTCCATGGCAAATGTTCTGAGGATGAACACTCAATATTTCCCCTAGTCCAGACCTTCACAGTTAGGACCGCCATGTTACATATCCGACCTTAAGCCATACGCATTCCTTTCATATTCCATTGCTAAAGAGAAAGTTACACTCAGGCAGTTTCCTCCCCCCGCAAAAAAAATTGTTACCTTCCAGAACAAACCTCCTAAGAGATGCTTTCTCGGCCGCTACAATCTGAATCTTCTCAAGTCTAGAGTAAACCGTTATCAACATAGATACCCTCATAATATGCACACCCTCCTCCCTTCACAACGACTTTATTTAGTAACCCTCTATCTTGAGTGGCTCTTGGTTCTTATATTGGGTGAACTGAGTGAGTGTTTTTGATACTGTCACACTATTTTTAAACAACTGTCTATATTTCTGAGATTGCGGCATTGTAAGTATTTACACTATTTACATTGTTGGGACTGTTGTCCTCATCTATATTGTCACATTCACAACGTTTCGACTGTTGTACGCTCTGTACTTCTTCAGGTAATATTTGTTTGAATTTCGAACCGAACGCAGAATAGTCAATCTGTATGTTAGAGTTTCTGAAGATTGGTTGGATGACGTTTTTTTTTCCCATGTTTATTTCCTGAAATGGGCTGACCTATAGCATTCATATTCATATTCCCGAGTTTCTCAGTAAAGTAACGATATGTGCAAGCGGTGTCGAGAAAAAATAGTACAGATTCTCAGTTATTTTACTGAGCGACACAGGAACGTAAATTTTATATATTAGGCCATTTTAATAATAATAAGTTTTTTTTTGGAAAATAATGACCGATTTTAGGATAAACGTTTTAATTGGATTCTAACACATTATTACAATATTAGAATGTTTGGAAAATAATGTTCGATTTTAGAATAAACGATTTAATTACATTCTAACACATTATTACGCCGCGACCAATACCAAGTCACATTGGTCGTCACAGGATAGCAAGGGGGCAGAGAGGCCAGGGGTGACGTCACAACAATATCAGATTTTTTGTTAAATCGATTTAATTAGATTCTAACACATTGTTATAATATTGAATTGTTTTGAAAATAATGTCCGATTTTAGAATAAACGTTTTAATTGGATACTAACATATTATTACAATATTAGATTGTTTGGAAAATAACACATTATTACAATATTAGATTGTTTGGAAAATAATGTCCGATTTTAGAATAAACGATTTAATTAGATTCTAACACATTATTATAATATTGAATTGTTTTGAAAATAATGTCCGATTTTAGAATAAACAATTAGATTCTAACACATTATTATAATATTGAATTGTTTTGAAAATAATGTCCGATTTTAGAATAAACGTTTTAATTGGATACTAACATATTACAATATTAGATTGTTTGGAAAATAATGTCCGATTTTAGAATCAACGATTTAATTAGGTTCTAACACATTATTATAATATATCTTTTGAAAATATTCTTCTCGTTTTGGGGAATTCAAATTCTTTATCGTTTCTTGCAATTCATTTCTCGTATTTCGAAGATATTCTTTTATTTTTATTTTTCATTCATATTCTGATTACTCTCTCGACCTTCGTTTTCCAGCCTTCAAAGATTTTGTTCGCTTACTGGCTGCTTTCATATTTTTTTTCATTGTTCTTCTGCATTTCTCCTTCTTCTCAATCTCTTTTATTTTTCATTAGTACTTCTTTGTATCTTTGTGTCTTTTCGTGGCGTTTCTGAGAATTCCCTGTCTGTGTTCATCACAAACGTTTTCACGATAATTCTGATAAGACTTCTTTTCCATTTGACTTAGAATTTTTCCGGACTTTTTGCATCCTCCATTGTCGTTTCGAAATTATTGTCGCTTTTCATCGCTTAAGCTTGGGCATAGCCATCTTTGTCGTTCTCTCGCTGATTGATGTCGTCTGATTTCTTCTATGTTCGTCTTCCAATTTGATAAATAGCAAACAGTGAGTTTATTTGGGCATTGATGGTATGTCTTATATCCTTTCATAAAACGAATAAACATATTGATATTTAAACTCTGAATAAAGTTATGAGATAAGATCGTGTCGATTTCTAATTCTGTTTGAAAAATTAATGAATTTATAAGAGCGGCCGGCCCGAGAATGAAATATAATGGTAGAATAACGCATAAAAGTAATTTAAATTTCATCTTCATAGCTAGCCTATTTCTCTCATTTTCTTCACAAAGATATTCAATTTCATAAAAGTAGCTGGCACTCGATTCTTCATTTCTTTTTTTTCGACCTTTCTTTCATTTTTCTATCGTCGCTTATTTCTGAAATCCATTTAGATTGGTACGACTATATCGCTTTGTAGAAGAAGAAAGACAAATTTCATGTTTAAAAACGACATTTCTCCTCTTAATATCTTGAAGTTTGTTTTTTTTAGATCTGTACGCAGATTCTTATCCAAACTTAGCCAAAGAGAATTTATTAGAATGTTTCTTTTATTAATCCGACACATTTTATCTCTTTAAACTTTTATTATTATGAATACACATATTTGAGAAAGCGATGCGTATTAAACAGTATATTTATTTATAAGATATGAAAAACTTTAAGAGATCATTGACAAGAGAAATTTTGCGAAACCGTCCGGCATTTATTCGTAGCCAAAAAGGGAGAGGCAAACCTGGCAAACCGGAGTCTTTCTCTACCCTATGGGATGCGAGTTCGATTCTTGCCAAAGAGCACAATTTTTTTTCTTGAAAATTCGGGCCGTTTGATGAAAATAACTTAATAGACTGTTTAATATACAAGCGGAGCGTCTACTCAAATACGATTATCCTCTAATAATAACGTTTAAATCCATTCTATTCTAATATATATATAATCCATTCTAATATATATATATATATATATATATATATATGTGTGTGTGTGTGTGTGTGTGTATGTGAAATTTCTCGGCCAGAATTGCATTCAGAAATCTTTCTAATATATCTATTCTAATATATATATATATATATATATATTTTAAGACATTTTTATGTTTATACATTCTTTTTATAGATACAAATATTTAAGTAAATACTCTGTATTTAATACGGTAAACAGTATTAAACAACATTTACCGGCCTGAATGACCGAGAAATTTTCATAGAAAATATTCGTCCTCCGACAGGAATCGAACCTGTATCCTATACGGAACCGTCATTTAGCCTGACGTGCCTTAACCGATCGAGCCACAGAAGTTTAAAAGTAGTAAAATCAACCTTGTCAATCGAACTATTCTCCGTGGCTCGATCTGTTAAGGCAT